CTGCATGGTCGTAGGCCTCTTCATCCGCAACGTACTGGGCGCAGCCATCCTGACTTTGGGTCTCGGCGGGATCGTAGGCAACGCCATGCCCACCCTCGTAGATCACCATTGGTGTTGGTGTTGCCATTTCGTTGAACAAGACGCGGGGCGACAGCATGGTGCCCGTAAACGGTGGTCGTGCTTGCTTTCTTTGCATTTCGACGGTCGGCCGGCCGCCACTGCTGCACCCTGGCACGACGTTGACATCGATGACGGCCGAGGGGGGCGGGGTGGATGGCGCGATCACGCCAACGTCCGGCGAGCCCGAAAAACGGGTCTGGCCATCGTGCCTTGGCGGGGGAAAGCGCGGGTGACATAGGCGTGGTCCGCGACGTCGGCGACGACCAGTGCTGAGGCCTGGCGACCGACGAGCCTGTGCTCGCCGGGCTGACGGCCGCACCAGAGAAACCCGCCGGACGGCATAGGACAAGCATTAGGAGGGTGTGCGCTTTGTTGACGATGGCCTCCTTCTCGTCGACCTCAGCCTTGCACCGCGCGGCCTCCACCGCATCGCGCTCGGCGGTGAACTTGGCCATGGCGGTCTTGCTCTTGACGGCCGCCCTCCGGTTCCTCCTCTTCGCCGATTCCGCGTCCATCTTGGCAAGCTCCTCCGGCGTGCATTCCGACCGCGGCTTCCTTGGACCCTTGGTTGCCTTCTTCTTCACCTTTGGCGGGTGAGTTAACGGCCAGGCCGTCGGAATTCGGCGGGGCGTCGGCCATGAACGGGGGAGGGTGGGGGCGGGACGTGAAAGGGTTTGGGGGGAAATGGCGCCAAATGGGGCGCGGGGGATTTTGCTTTGTGCCACCGACGGGCGGGCCAGGAGAGAACACACGCGTGCGTCCCGTCCGTCCGCGAGCTGTCCGTTTCACTTCAAAAGCGGCGCAAACTTGGACCGGGGATGGGTCGAAAGCGGACAGAAAACGGACAAAAGTCCGTTTGCGCCCGCGCGCTGGGCCGTCTGGTTTGTCCGTTTTGCACCGAACGGACGCACCCGGACAGGATGAGGTTGCGCGCTGGAGTTGGCCTTAGTACCACCTCGGCTGGGGAAGGAGGAATAGAAGAGATGGCTGCCTATAAAAGAGAACCACAACGCAGTAATGCTCACTACTCTCTTGTCGCTCTGTTTTGGCAGGGAAGACAGTGAATTCTTTTCCCCACGTTATCACTCGAACCGAAAAAAAAGAATGTTTGTCACTTACCCGATGGGTGCCCGATCGGGTCGGGTTACCCGGCGGGTTCGGGTATGGGCCATCTTAAGACCCGTGGGTAGGGCGGTGGGTTGGTGGTTGACCCGATAGTATAAACCGGCATGGGTTTGATTGGGGTCAACCCGGCCAAACCCGATCCGACTGCCAGGTTGACATCAAACTATATCGCAGACTTGCTAAAAAGGACAAGTATGGCATGTTGAAAATCGGACGTTGTAGCGCGCGAGATAGCAATGTCCTACAATATGTAGGTAAATAAGTTTGACTTAGAACAAACCTAGATTTTTATTATTTCAGAACGCAAAGAGTACTATATGCTCGATACTCACTGATTATTTAACATGCATTTATTTGGTATGGGTGATTGGAAGCAGACAGAGACGTGTCATTGTCCCTTCCTCTTAAGCTAAATGTTTCTTTTTTAAGATCCGCTAAATGTATTTAAGGGACGTGTCATTGTCACTTCCTCTTATTTATTGTCTATAATACAGCAAGATGATGTTTTAAGGCATCCTGTTTCTTGTCTTACTCACTGACATGCGGCTCCAATTTTAGTTTTCAAATCATAGCGCCAGCTGGGCCCTAGATTCATCGCCCTCGACGGTCAGTGTGGCTACACTACACTCCAACTCACCAAGCACCCAAATCTCATACCCACATTCGCCCACAGGCCAAGGAAACCATGGCGACCATGGCCGCTGCAGTGTGCCACTCCCCAGCTCGCCTGTCCATCTCCTGCTCCTACTCTTCCTCCCACTCCGCGCCTGCGTGCCCGCTGCGCGTGGCCGTGGTGGGCGGCGGCCCGGCCGGCGCGTCGGCGGCCGAGGCGCTGGCTTCCGCAGGCGCCCACGCGTTCCTCCTGGAGCGCAGTCCCGCGGGGGCCAAGCCCTGCGGCGGCGCCATCCCGCTCTGCATGCTCGACGAGTTTGCCATCCCGCTGGGGCTCGTCGACCGCCGCGTCACCCGCATGCGCGTCCTCTCCCCCTCCAACCTCGCCGCCGACTTCGGGCGGTCGCTCCCTCCCGGCGCCCATATCCCCATGCTCCGCCGCGAGGTGCTCGACTCCTTCCTCCGCACCCGCGCCGCGGACGCCGGCGCCACCCTCGTCCCGGGCCTCGTCACCTCGCTCTCCCTCCCTGCGGGCCCCACCGACCCGTACCTCGTCCACTACATCTCGTCCGGCGATGGCCCCTCGCCCACTCGGAGCGTCCTTGAGGTCGACGCCGTCGTGGGCGCGGACGGCGCGAACAGCCGGGTCGCCCGGGAGGTCGGCGCGGGCGACTACTCGACGGCCATCGCGTTCCAGGAGCGCATCCGGCTCCCCGACAAGGCCATGGAGTACTACGACGACCTCGCGGAGATGTACGTGGGCGGGGACGTGTCCCCGGACTTCTACGGCTGGGTGTTCCCCAAGTGCGACCACGTGGCCGTCGGGACCGGCACCGTGGCCGCCAAGCCGGAGATCAAGAAGCTACAGTCGGGCATCCGGGCGCGGGCGGGCCCCAAGATCGCCGGGGGGCGCGTGATCAAGGTGGAGGCGCACCCGATCCCGGAGCACCCGCGGCCACGGCGCGTGGTGGGGCGCGTGGCCCTGGTGGGCGACGCGGCGGGGTACGTGACCCGGTGCTCCGGCGAGGGCATCTACTTCGCGGCCAAGTCCGGGCGGCTGTGCGGGCAGGCGATGGCCAAGGAGTGGCGGCTGACGGGCGCGGTGACGGAGGGCGGGATCAGGCGCGGGTACCTGCGGCGGTGGGACGACGAGTTCCTGCTGACGTTCCGGTTCCTGGACCTGCTGCAGCGCGTGTTCTACGGCGACAACGCCGGGCGCGAGGCGCTGGTGGAGATGTGCGCGGACGAGCACGTGCAGCGCCGGACGTTCGACTGCTACCTGCACAAGCGGATGGCGCCCGGCGAGCCCTGGGCCGACCTCCAGCTGCTGTGGCGCACCGCCGGCAGCATGGTGCGATGCAGCGTCCTCGGCAAGGAGGTCCAGCGCCTCCGCCGGCTCGAGCTGCTGCAGGCTTAGAGACAGGAAATCCCTTCCCTTCTCTTTCTGCAAGCAATGGGTACCGATGCTGTACTGAATAATGAGGTGAACCATGAGCTGTGCAATTTCTGCTTTTGCGATATGTGATGCAAGTTTGACACCATTTTGGAATTTTATGAAATGCTACCATGCATTGCATTGAGCTGAGCACCATTTGATCTGCCGCCAACACAACCCTTCCAGCACGCCTCAACACACCAACAAAACACCATTAATCTAAGGAAGCCACACGAAGAAGATTATTCGAACCACTGCAAAAAAAAAAGGACGAAACGATGGACCACACACTCTTTAGAGCATCTCCGGTAGATGGTCTAAATGTGGCTGTCTGAAATTTCATATAGACAATGGTCTAAAAAGATTGTCAAGCAAATGGTCTATATATAGGATGTTTATATTCTCTCTCCCATATTTTTGCAATATCTTATAACGATTGAAACTGTGTTACAAAATCTAGACAATACAAAGCAAAAATGCGCGAAACAACTTGTGGTTGGATGGTTAGGAGGATAGCCCACCAGGGTTCAAGTACTAGACTTAGACTTGACATTTGAATTTATTTCAGACTTTTCGACGATGGCTTAGTCTCTCTAAGGTGCTCATATGTATAGGGACAAGGACAACTGATCAAATGTATTGTCCTATAGACAATCTGCTGAAGAGCGTTTTTCACCTCATATTGTCTTTATCTCATAAACAACCCGTTTGTACGAGCTATTGGAGATGCTCTAACACGCTGTCCAGATCCATGGAACCACGGCCTCACTAGCCTGCCACAAGTGTTCGAGCGCACATCGTCAGGTGGGACTGAGGCCTGAGAGATTTATTCCAGATCATCCAGTCAAGTGGCATCCAATTCCAGCAGTATATAACCCCCATTTCATAATATGATCTGGAATGCAATTTCACCATGACAATTGACATGCACATGATACATCAGTACAAGGCACAAAAGCATATTTAGATCATGGAATAGCAGTACACAATTTGTCCAAACTCATTTTATTCTAGGTCTTGAAGAAGGACAAACAAATACTTCAATTCTCATCGACATACAAAAAAAACAGAAATACCCTCCTCTCCCTAAACTGCATTTCCTTATTTCCATTTCATCGCCTGATGGTGCATAAGGCCATGCAGCTCAAGCTGAAAGAGAAACAAACTACAAAAGAGGTGGTGCCCAAAATGAAGCTAAGAATCATTCATCGGCGAATCTAAAGCTTTCGGCATACAAGACCGGTATTACAGTAACAGCAGTGCTGTGGTAAACACCCTGTAGAACAAGGGTGTATTATGCTCAGGGTGTACCTGTTAGAGGACGGTATCCAAGCTCTCCATTGTATTTCATAGATCTGTCTATAAAACATAGGGATAAACTTTCTGGAGAGCTTATGAGGTCAATCTATGTTTCCACTCGAATAAATATCAGGTAAGGTGAATGTTTGTACTAACGCTAGCTAAAGCCACGCCGCCACTAAGAAAAACAACTAATTGCCCTGCTTGATTCTAATGCCTCGATCTTCAACAGGCAGCAAGGTATACAAAAACCACTGTAAGTTAGGACCAACTTGTAAGGGAACATCAAATATGTGCCTATCTAAACTCTATAATATGGCCTGGGAAAGTGAGATTCATCGAAAATTGGAGCATGTAAAGGGGTAGCATGCCAGCTCCCCGAGCCTTAAGGTTGTGCAACGCTATTTTCCTAGCTTGTTTTCTCCTGATTTTCTTGCATTATTTTTTCCAGTTCCTTTTGCCCAGTAGATATCAGGATCTTCATTGTGTCGAATGCGGTGAGTTTAATGCTGCATGACATAACAAACTTGTGAGAGAACATAATTTTTACGGCAAGTTAAACATGATGCTAGCTATCAGTGTTGCCGTAATTCAAATTAAATATTTTCAGACATGGTAATAAAAGTAGCACCTGCTATTTGGTAGATTTTTCAACGCGTTTGGCACAAAACCTCTGTATAGCCCAACTAGACCATCACGCTCCACAATGCCTGCATTTCGCATTAAAAAACTCAAAAATGCTTCAATTTGGTCAATAATGAACAAGATCAAGCTGCTAATGAGTACATAGAATGGTTAAAAGTGGCAAATAACATTGTACACACTGAGGTGGCTATGTAGAACTAAGCAAAAGATGCTGCATTACTATGCCGCATATGCAAGGGTAGCGAAATTCACTCGGCTACCTGGAATGGCATCGAAAATTGTATTATATGGTGTGCCTTTCATTTGCATCTGCCTCCTAACAGTGTCCAACGGATAGCACATCAAGGTTGCAAATGTTGCTGAAAGAAGAGCAGTTGCTAGAGAAGTCTCTGGTCTACTCTTGTACTTCTCCGGTACGGATTTCTTCATTCTTCGATACAGAAACGATGATTTGGATATATAAAAACGTGAGACAAATATTGAAATCTGAGACCATTTTATATACCATACACTATGAAGAATTGAAGATACAGTAGAAAGGATCTCACAGGTCAAAAACACAGAAGTTTACAGCAATGTAAGGTGCAATTCCTATAAGAGATGGACCAAGGCCCCCATAGAAGGAAGCTAGGCCTTCTTCTCTCAGCATGTTCAGAGCAACCTACAAAATTAGTCATCATGAAATGCCAGTTCGAAATACAGAAATTTATGTTTGTACTCCCTCCGTTCCAAAATAGATGACCCAACTTTGTACTAAAGTTAGTATAAAGTTGAGTCATCTATTTTGGAACGGAGGGAGTAATAGTTATTACCTGTGACATAGTGCTATGTCCAGATTGAACTGCTAGCCTAAGCCGGAGGACATCGAGTGGGTAAGTCACCTATCAGCAAGTACAAATAGAAAGTTCAGACCAGAATAAGAATGAATGGAAACACAACCAATTTTGACATATGAAACTGAAAACGAACAGCCATTTGCTAGAAAGTTAGATAAATAAATAAATTACAAGTGTAGAAGTCATGCCCGCACAAGCCCCAGCCGCAAGTCTCCCAAATACAGTAAGTTCTCCATCCTTTCTCCGGAATACTTTCTGAAAACATTGAATTGAAGTTGTAGCATAATAAAAAGGAACACAACACCACATTCACAATCACAAGAACATAAAATAGATTAGGTGACTATTGGTAGCAAGGAGATGTTATGACCTTGTAAACTTCATATGAGAAAAGTTGCACTGCGCTGTATGGAATTATGCGGATAACCTGGAGGAGTTTATGCAGAAGAAACAAGTCAGCACGGGAACACAAGATAAACCATGCACGAGCCTCAAAATTACAATTTGCAAGATGGGTAGTATCAAGCACCTGTGGAAGATTGCCCTTCCAGTAACCCTTTATACCCTCTTCCTTCCCTATCTCTGCCATAGCCTACACAATTGGAGGTGCATCGGGTTACATGATTTCCTTTATATGTGAATGCAAGTATCATCGGCAAGGCATTAAAAGAAAGCTATCGCCCTTTCTCCCCTATTTTATGACTGTCAACTCTAAAATGCATCCATCCAACAGAATGGTTAATATTCGTATATCAGTATTAAAGAAAATGAAAATGACCTGACACAGAGGGTATGGAAACCAGGTAATTCCATGGTTAAGCTTATCCAGTTAGTCAATCAAGCATCTCAAATCTATTAATAATTGACAACATCATAGATACAAGTGCAAAATAAAGGATGGAGAAACAGCTCAAGCTCTTGCCAAATAAAGCAAAACAAGACTTGGTGATTCTGAAGTTTCTAACTGTGATCTCCCACTAAGGACCTTTTTATCTTAGCCCTTCATCTTAAGTTACCTACACTTCTTTATAGTTCAGATAAGGTCTTTTTGTTTTGGTTATTCCTGATCCATTATTATTCAGGTAACATAGACTGCAGGTGTATAGAAGAACATTCAAGAAAAGGATGTTCTGAAAAATAATCAACGATGGATTTCAGTTAACCCTAAATTTTCTTTGAGCTGCAGTTCTAAATTTATGCATTGATTATCATAAAATTCACATGTTTTGCATCGTTTTTTATTTGCAACACAAAACGGAACGGAGTCAAAGAGAATGTAGCATTGTTACCTGCACGAATCCAATTCCCTTAGTGCTTTCACCCGCCATCCGCACGCTATGTGTCTGGGAGAAGAAGAGAAGAAACGCGGGTCAGAAACATCAGTTACACACCCAGGCAGCATGAACCGCGGGGTCAGAAGGCCGTGCCTGCATGAGGAGCTTGACGCGGTCGAGCGGCGCGGTAACCGTCTTGGCGACGGCGCCCGCCCCGGCGCCGGCCGCGAAGAGCGCGACGCTGCTGGGCACCAGCGCCAGCAGCGCCAGGGGGTGCTTCAGCAGCTGCGCCACCGGCGGCATCTTGCCCTTCGTCCCGGAGACCTCCGCTGCCGCCTGAGCCAGCGTTCTCTCCTTCTCCTCTCCCACATCCTCCGCCTTGACCCCGCCCTCACGGACGGAGAGAGACGCGAAGGCGCAGGGCGGGTAGGAGCGGCCCCACGGGTTACCCGCGCGGAGGAGGAGAGCAGGCGCGTGCGCGGGCGCGGGCGGCGGGCGCCAGGAGTCGCATGCCTCAACTCGCCGGTGGCTCATCGGGTGGTGGTTCGGCGGTGGGAGGCTGCCTGGATCTGCGAGCCCGCGGGAATCGGACGAATTTGGGAGTGGGGATGGAGAGGAGGGAGGGGATAAGGGGAGCAGGAGTTGTTAAACCCCGCGGTGGCAACGGGAATTGGCAGTGCCACGGCACTCGTAGTGACTACTGACTGAGTAGTGATGACAGCAATAGGGTCGCAGATGCGTGGAAAACGAGCATGGATCTGTCAAAACGACGACTCCATTTTTTAAGAGACACCAAATGCTCGATGCAAAAAGAAAAAAGGACACCATCCCATCCATGAACTCTTAGGAAGAATTTGATTAGTTTGATTGATTGGTCGCATAAAAAACTGGTCCGCATGAGCCTTTAAGCACCTCTGGATCTGGCTAATCGGTCGATTTCCGCATCCAGGCCGAGCGATGCACCTTGTGGCAATTGCGTGGCGGAGGCTACACGCGAGGCCCAAAAACCGATGCCTTACCACTTGGCTATACTCCAAACGGGGGGAAGGCTCGATGAAAACGAGCTGGGATATAGATTTTTCAGAAGCACGGTCTCGAGAAGTCGCGTTGTTTCTGATGAGGACATCAATATCATTGTTACACCCACAGCCCCTGCTGCTATACATACTGGACCAATTACGAGAGCTCGCGCACGCCAACTAAATTATCAGGTACTTTCGTTTCTTGGTAATGATTCTAATGTTCATGAGAATATGATGCTGCCTAAATTGGATACATTTGTTTTGCTTACAAATGAAGGGCCTAGCTTGGAGAAGGATGAACATTGGAGCAAGAGCAAGCATGGAGATGATGGCATGCGCAAGGGGAACAAGAACGGAGTTACAAGTGATGATTTCAGGACTTTGAAGCCACCATAATGGGTGCATGAAGCCTTGGACGAAATATACAAGATGCCACTTCATAAATTTCGTCTAGAGGCTATTCTAGGTGCTGTGTCACCTTATTATTGGGCCAGGCCCATGTAATTTCGAAATACATAAGTATAGGCTATTTTTAGAGTCCGTATGTGTGGGGAAACAAGAGATAGGGTTGAATTCGGACCCCTCCACCAAGGGTCACGAAATTCCCCCCCTCTTCCTCCATATATACAGCCCTTAGGGCACCGTTTAGACTTTGGGTTTTGTTTAGATTAAAGTTCGCCATAGCTGCAATTTCGCGTACTTCGTTTGTGTTCAACGACCAGACAAAGGCGTCACAGAACCCCACCTTGATCAATAAAGCTTTCATCTTATATTCGCAATATCCAGATTGCAATCTCAGTTTCTTGCTTGTTCTTCGTTTGCTCGCAGGAAACAAACCCTTGTGGTCAGGTTGATCGTGCTCCGGCGTGGTCAATAACCTCTCGGAGTTGGTTTAGCGATTGCTAAGGCGCGACGTCCTCGCACGTTCGTAGTCGGATCGTCAAAGTCGACTTCCACCAAAGCGATATCCAACATCTCATCGAAAGACGGGACACCTTTGCCTCTATCAGTTTCCTGAAGAGGCGGCATAATTACCCTCACCTCTCTCTCCCGCTCCCTGTAGAATATGTGAATTGCAAGATGTATTACTCTTCGTGCATAGGCACGTATATATGATGTACAAAGGTGGTCCACAGACCTTAACTATACAAGGAACTAGGAGGCGGGCCCAATA